GCGTTTGTCCCCCTCCGGCTCTCGCTTACAGCGAAGGCAAAGACTTGACAGACAGTCTTGTGTTAACGCACCCAAAGCGTTACATCTCTGCAGTTCTTCCACGTCTGGTACCAGGCAATGTCAATGCCTGTTTTTAGCCCGTCCCGACGCTCAGCTATACACGTCCTTGTCTCGGCAAGAGGTGCACCTCTGATTTGGCCTCCTGCCGTCACCGGGAAGGGCCTTCTCTGGCTGCCTGGCCTGGCCTGGCCTGGCCGCTTTGCGCTCGCCCTGGGTCTCTGCCTGCAGCCAGGGATTTCAGCTCATCACACAAAACCCGTAGCCTCGTTTGTGGGCTAGTTGTCGGCTTTTGTAAGCTGGATTGGGACCATTCGTTCTCTGTGGTCAGATGAATGTTCCCCCCTCCCCCCCCCAAATCAAGAGAGAAAAAGGTCAAGAGGAGTGGAGAGCACCTTTTTAAGAGGGAGCACTGTGAAGGGAAGACAGTGTAAGAGGAAATGGGACGGCAGTCTTCTGCTGTCAACAGATTACTGGTTCGTCTCAATCTAGCTGCACTCTTAAACATTGTGAAACCACCTAAAAACCACCGCTGCTTTGTAGCGGTATAGGCCTTTTCTGTCTATTCCTGAGTTGTCATGGAGACATGCAAAATAAAAGGAGCTGGAAATTCCCGGGGGAAGAGCAGGAGGGATCCTTTTCAAATAAGGTTTGATATAATTTGAGAGGTGCTTTGGAAATCTGGGTGGTAGCTTCTTGCTGAATGTGAACTGGCACAAGGTCTGTTTGATCTCTGTGTCTGTCCGAGACCATGCCTTCAGTGAAATTCAGAACTGGCTTATCAAGAGCCTTGCGTAATTGTGTGCTTTTAGCCGAGTAGGTCTCTATGTTGATTTTAAGCAAAACTGCAACCATCTATTAATACCTCACTGAACACTTAAGTACCAAAGATAACAGCAGCTCATTACTAATCCTATTTCTCTTGTTTTTAATGAATTGCAGCAATGCATGAGTCTGGAAGTTTTGCAGCATCACGTTCTAGACGTGAGAAGAAGTCTAGAAGAGGCCAGCAAGAAGCACTGGAACGTCTGAAAAAAGCCAAAGCTGGTGAAAAATTAAAATATGAGGTGAAAATTCCTAATATTTTCTTTTTAATAGAAAGTGAATGTGAGCTGAGATGCTTAATTACCCTTTATACATGTCTAAAAGTTATGGGAAACAAAATCAGCCTTTCAGATCTGCTTTTGTTTTTTAACTACATGTTTTTCAAAATGTAACTGTAATTGTTTTGCTGCTTTCTGGTATCATTTTTTTGTTTCTTTCTGTTTTCAAAACTAAACCAATTTTATTAGCTGCAAGTCAAACATGCTTGGTAACTGTCCCACAGGGAAGGACCAACTATTAGAATTTAATTGCATAATTAATGTTATGATAGGAAGTACTTTTTTTTTTAACTTGAAATTTTTTAAAACTTTAAATTAATTTCAAAGCTTTACATGACTGAAATCCATTAATATTGATATATTTTCCCAAAGAACCCAAAATTTAAGTATTTAACTGGTGGAACTGAAATCTGGCAGTGTTAACATTGATACTGTCCAATTAATTGTAATTCCAACAGGAAGTGACTTCCACATTGAGGTGGATGAATCTAAAGAAGCCTGAAGTACATAGGTCATTAACACACAAATTTACTCTGAGGCACAAAAGAGCATTTTCAGCATTATGCTTGGGCACCTCAAATCATCTTCCTTTTCATTGAGCTCATCTTGGTGTTTGAGACTAGAGCCAAAGGTCAGAAGTCTCCATTGCCAGTTTTTTTTTTGTTTGGGTTTTTTTGTGGTGTGTTTTTTTTTTTTTTTCTAATGTGAAATAAGCAATAAAATAAGCCAGTTTCATGTGAAATCTCTGCCATGCTTCAGTAGATTTTGAGTTTCAGTATACTGTGATAATTTTAAAAAATAATAACTTGTGTTTTGTCACTGCCTAAAAAGAAACGTAAACTGAATGAGTAACTGCACTTAATAGTTGTGGACAATGTTACACTGCAGGAAACGATGCATTTCTTGGGAACTTTTATGTTCTTAGTGATGACTGATATTAATACGTAATAGTACCAGAACTGCTAATCCTCAGTATACCTTAACTGTAGGTTGAGGAGTTCATGGGTGTTTACGATGAAATAGATGAGGATGAATACTCCAAGATGGTCAGAGATCGTCAGGATGATGACTGGATTGTTGATGATGGTAAGTTAATCTTTGGAGAGTTACTTTGATTATGGTGTTATAACTCAATTAGGTTTCATAATGTTCATGATTCGAGGTAAGTTATGGTTAGTACATTCTTACAAATTGTTTTAGGAGACACAAAAAGATAAGCTTTTATATGGAAATTAATCTTTTGCATTGTTTTCATTGTAGTGTACTGGGATGGTAATGAAAATACTTTTTCATTAAGAACTATTTTTGAAGTTTTGTTTCCAGTTATCAGTGATGTGACTTCAAAAAGAATTACTGTAATTAATAATTTCTAATTAAACAGGTAATAATATATATAGTCTAATAGAAGAGGTAGCTGAGTGCTGTATTTTTTAACGCTTTCGCATTTATAAATTTTGCTCTATATTAAAAGGGGAAAAGTGTTTAAATATGTAAAACTTTTGATTATGAATATATTTAGACATATCAGAAGACAGAATTTAAAATGTAAATTTTTAACAATTTGTTTTTTCTACAGATGGGATAGGTTATGTAGAAGATGGAAGGGAAATCTTTGATGAGGATCTGGATGATGATGCTCTTGGTTCCAATAAGAAAGGTAGGTTGAACGTGACCACTGTCGAATGTCTTCCAGTGGCTTTTAAAAGGTGCCTAAAAGGGGCAGCTTCTTGGCATCGGTGTGTGGTGAATATGGCCAAATGGCATGTTACTTGAAGCTCTGTAGTTCTGTGCCTGTGACTGTGGATTTTGTTTAGCCTGCCGTGATACAGAAGATACAGGTCCGCAAATTGAGGTCACATCACTGCTTGAGCACTACCGGGGCAATTTTCCTTATAGTCTTCTGGGGGATATATATTCCCTTCTAGAACAAATGTGTCTGGGAATGATCTTGGTTTCCAAAGCCCGTGTCTAATGGATGTGTGGTCTCTTTTGCTACTAAAATACTTGCATGCCTTTAAGGATCTGGGATCAAATGATTTTCCCAACTTTTATGAAGTTGGTGGCAAACTGAGAAATTGAGTCTGGTGTTGAGAGGCCAAGTCTAGTGCCAAACTTGTGGACGCTCATGTTTTTTTCAGGAGATGTTTCCGTGTAAAGTATCTTGGTACTTTTTCTGGAGTATGAACTTGAGTATGCAAAAATAATCCCTGACGTGACTAGGAAAGATAGGGTGCTGATGGGGTTTTGCTTTTTTGTGTGTGTGCGTGACAGCCATTACAAAGCTGGCAGCAAATGAAAGATGGTTAGGCTTCATTTCAGCCAGCAGTGTAAAGGTGGAAGAAATAGACTTCCTCAGCTATCTATTCCTGCTAATAACTGGACACTTAAACATTGAGCTTTTCTGACGTAGAATTCACAATTTTATATTTTTCTGTAGGAAAAGGTGGCAAAACATCTACGGTTGATAAAAAGAATGTGAAAAAATCCGTGGTGTCAAAGCCAAACACAATTAAGTCTATGTTTATAGCCAGTGCTGGGAAGAAAAACACAGATGTAAGTGTTTACATTTTCTGAATTTAAAGTTTTCTAACTTGTTTACAGTGTTTTAGTGGGAGTGAAATAAAGCAAAGGCTCATTTCAGTTTCTTTTGTCTAGCAAGACATAAACTCCTATTACAATCTCTTGTGTATGGAGCGTTCCTGAAAACATTGTCTGTGTTTTGTAGAAACCCTTTAGCCATTTGCTGCTGGTCTCCTGATTGGATTTGCACCTATAACTGAGAACTGTTTGGCTATTCTGTTATCTTACAGAGAACTGTGGACCTGTCAAAGGATGATTTACTGGGGGATATCCTTCAAGATCTTAATGCTGAAGTAAGTATATTAATAAAATCTGCTTGGAACACAATCCACTCACTTTTCTTGCTGTGGAGCATATCAAGAAAGTAAAGTTCTTCCTAAAACTAAACCATCTAAGATTGATTTCTTCCATAGCACATCTGCTTGGTATATTCCACCTATGTATGTAGTCTACCTGTCATCTCCACTGTGCAGAAGTTGCATGACTATATTGGTTTGATAAGACAAAACTACTGTGTCCTAATTAGGGATGGTTTATGTTAATGTGAGGTAGAGCCTGTGCTGATGCAGCCTCCTAGGTTTTAGTCAGCTTGGAGTGAAACAGGGCTGCAGCTGATTGTGTATACCATACACGTGTTATCGCCACGCTCCAGCTAGGATATTTCCATCTGGTGTGTTTGGGTTCACAAGAGGAGCTGAGGGAGGACTGGTTCAAGCCTGAACTTCTGTCTGCCTCCTCCTCCTTTCCACAGTTTGCTACAGCGAAACAGACTAACACATGCTGTGAAAGGAGGGCAGGATGGCAGCTGTAGTAGGGTTGGACTGTCTCAAAGGAGGCTGTTCCTCGTCATTAATATCTTTTCAGTGAGTTAATGCCCCTTAGCAGGATTTCTTAAAACCAAAAGGATTGCTCACGTGTAAACCGTGAAACTGCTGTAGTGGTGAGATACTGAATTGAATTATGTTGTGTCATCGTAAGCATAATGTGTTTTTACAGAGCAATAAGAGAGGTATGCATGTTCCAGTGTAAAGTTATTTTCTTAGTTTTGTGTGCTCACTATTTTACTCCTCCCTATAATATCTGATTGAGAGTTATAATATCTTAGGCTATCAAAACGCCTCAAATCATTAAGTAAGTGCATTTTAATGCTGTCAAATTTTGTGGAGCATTTATTGGGGGAAATAATGCTAATAATGACACTATGGCTTATATTTACTGAAATAGTAGTTAGCTTTTTTTTTGGTCTTTGTTGTTCTCTAAAATTTCTTTTGTTATTAGCTGTTGATAAGTATGAATATAAAATATACATGTAAATAAATTAAAATGGGTTTTCCTCTAGCATGACAGTGCTGATGGAGTGCTTCTGCCTTTCTTAAGGCATGTATGCTCAGTACTACTGTTTCAGCAGACATGAAGAACATCCCACCACTTATTCTGGTACTTGTGCGTTAAAGGCATGGTTAGCTATTGAAATGCCCAGTGTTTGAAAACTATTTTACTTATTGATAACAGTTTTTCTCTCAAACTGTTTACCAAAATAATCTAATGTCTCTCTTCATGGGCTCATTGCTCAGATAACCTTTTTTTTTTTTTTTTTTTTTTTTTACGTGGCTGAGTTTTTTGTCAGGAGGTATGTTTTCTGGGCAAATGAGAAATACTGGTGGGTGTCCTTTCTCTTTGATAGAAAATGTTACTGACCAAGGAAAAGAAAACACTAAACAACACCTCTTCATTTTGTCACTTTCTCTTTTCTTTCAATATTCAGACTGTTCAGGTGAGTCCACCACCAATTGTAATGCTGAAAAGGAAGAGATCTGCTGGAGTACCGCTGAATCCTTTCTCTGTGCAGTCCCAAACTCCTAAGGTAAAGGAAAACAATCAAAAAAGTTCTCATTAATAAGTATTAATTTGTATTTTGGTTGATTTGAATACTGTAGTCTTTTATTTCTGCTGCTAGAAATTACCTTTCTCATTAGCTTCCGTAGCAATGTTACTGTGTAACTTCATGCATTTTTTGTCTTCCCCTTCCATGTTAATACATAAACAGAATACAACTCTTTCTGTATCTTTAGCCTAGTAGTAGTATATAGCTGTTAGGTTTGACAGGTGAAACTTTATAATGTTAGGTGCATCATATGAGGGTGAGCTCCTGCTTTGTCTCTTTTTTCCCCAAGACCCTTGTGTCAAGCAAAGGATGATGGGAAGTGAAATAAGCAGAAGAAAGAGTATTTGTAGGTGTGGAAAAGGAAAAGAAACTCATCTTCTGCAGAAGAGGAAAGCAAATGGAAAATTGAAGCGATGGGTAGACGTTTTACCCTAGTGGAAGATTTTGGAGTGAAAGGAGGGAGGATGGGCTGTGAAGGATGGAAGGCTAGCATTTTCTTAAGAGTTCTGGTAAATGAGAAGGACTTTATAGCTGGAAATACAATGAGATATTTGGCAAGAGCCTGTAGAGGGCAAATGGGGTGAAGTAAATACATCTGATTTGTGAAACCTTGTGTAATAGTGACATCAACTCTTATACTGAAAATAGGCACCAGTGGCACTCAGTTCAACAGTTGTGTTGGAGCCTAGAAGTGATTGAAAAAGAAAAAAGGGGAGATACAGAAGAGAAGATCTTTGTCTTTATGGTGCAAAACGGTAGTCACTTTTGTTAGGAAACATTGAGAAGGATATTAATTCCCAGACAGGCTGTTCAGACGATAGCTTCTGTGGTCCTAGGAGGAGGCATTGGAGATTTTAGACAGTGAAACAGTTGAAGAGGATGAAGAGTGCAGCCTTAGGAAATAAACGGTCATAAAGAGCAAGATGGCAGTGATGCTTTCTACTTCAGGAGATGAGCAGGAATAGAAGTATGAATAAATTAATTTAGCTGAGCTAGCAAGAAATTGTTGGTGAAGATAGATTAAGCAATGTATGCTTTCTGTTTGAGGTGAGTGAAGGGCTGAGTTTGGTGTTGGCCACAACAGAAATAGATGTACTGAGATTAAAACCCTAGAAATGATTGGGTGCAACTCTAAATTCCATGTCTGTAAAAAGTTTTCCTTGAAGATAAAGGTTTTGAACCTTGCCACAGATTAAGGGCCAGTAGATGCAGAGACCTATTGTTGGTCATGGTAGAGGCCATTCATACACATCTTTCCCTAAGAGGTTCTGTAGCTGCTGCCAGAGCGGTATCCTGTCTGAAAGCCAAACCGTACTTATTGCCTCAGAGTTTAGGCTTGCAGAGCATGCCGAAATGCTGTTTCTTTGTTTTCCTCACTCTCCTTGTCATGTCTGTAGCATGAAGAAATTCGATGGAGAAGCACTCTGTTCTCTAGACCCGTGGTGTCCTGAAGACATCTTGAACTCATTACTGATATGAACAGGTGTAAACTGCCATACTGGCCTTCCCTGGTTGTTCCAGGCTCTGTCCCTGCCTGACATATATTGTCACATACTCAGCTGACACAGAGGTTTTAATTTAGGAATGGAGTAGTGCTACGTGGGAAAAATAGTGAAAGTAACCTCAAACTTAATTAAATGTCAACCACGGCCTGTTGTAAACTGCTTTTTAAAATTACAATAGAAACACATCCCAGCAGAAATGGTATTATAGAATTTGAAGTTTACTTTTGAGGCGTTTTACCTATCAAGCTGCAAAATATGTGGAGCTTTTCCTCTAGCCCTGGTTACTAGTTCTGCAAATAGCGAGTGCCAGATTTTTTTCGTTTTCCTTTTTTGCTCTTAAGAGATTTTTTTTTTTTTAAATCATGGCTAAAATGTCTTTCAGGTAATCACCCCTATATCAAAGAAAGCTCCTGCTCATCTCAGGAAGGAAGCTCTTCCTCCAGCTTCATTTCATCCTAAACATCCCAATTACACAGCAAAATCTGGCATAGTCTCTGAAAATGAGGATACCAAGTATGTGCAAAAAGCTACAGAAAATGGGGGAATGGTGAAGACAATAGAAGAGAAAGCTATTGAAGGTATCAAAAAGAAATCAAAACCCAGTTCTGGAAACTCTAAATATGGCATATAAGTGTTAAAACACTTCTTAGTTTATACTGGTTAGATGTTTAGATTGCTTAAATGTGATATTTTGTTTGTATATTACTACTGTATATTATGTTCATGCATGTAGTATGCTATGTATGCATACTGCTGTAGTATAATGACTCAAGCCTTTAGTTCTATCTGCAGCACTTCCAGACGATGATCAGGGAATGATGGATTTTGATGAGGACGACTTTGATGAACCTATGGAAGCAGAGCATGTGGAAACTATACCTGAGACAGCCGAAAGCTTGAAGAGAGACAAGGAAATTGAAAAGAAAGAGACAGAGCAGCTGGAATCAGAGAAGAAAGAGACATCTGTCTTGTAAGAATCTCTTTTTCTTTTTCTTTTTTTCCTTCTACCAGTAAGCCTTTCAATATCCATAGGCGTTAGATTTAACTCCATATTTGTCTTTGCCAATGGGATAATTGTGATACAGACAGAATGATGATAATGTGATGGGTTTATTTGTAATGATGTTAAAAACGGTAATGTTGAACATGCTGATAGCTACTTAATTGAGAAATACTTGATGTTTTGGGGATTTAGCACATGACAACATAACACGTATTTCAGTACATTGAGGTGACTTAGTGCGGGTATTGAACAATGAACTTTGATGCCAGTTAGCAAAAATAAGGAATTGCTAACGATGCTTATTCTAAGCAGCTATGAAGGTATTTCATAACGTTAGTTGTAGTTCGAAGTATTGTCGCTAAAATTAATTTCACATGGCTAACAGCTACGTCTTTGGAAATAGGAAACAAGGGGGGTTTTCCCTGAGTTTTTTTTTGATTGTTTGGAAGAATCTTGAATCATACGTTTCATGATATGAATCGTATTGTAACTTTAAACTGTAAATATTTGAATGATCAAAAAGACTTAAACATTTAATGACTGAAAAGGTAGTTTTGTTGAAATAATCTGTTTTTCCGACTGAGCAACTTGTACAGATGGATGGATATATTCACTATGTAGAGGCTTGAATGACCAAGGCTGAAATACCAGGTGAATGATGTTTTTAAAGCCTGTGTGTGGCATACTGAGAACCGTGTATGTGGGTTTCTCTCTTTGTCGCTCCATCCTTCTTTTCAGAAGATATCTGAGGAAGCCCAACTGTTGGGAATGTTGCTTGGTACTGGAAAGAGCAACAAAAGGTGTGAGAATATAGGGCTGAAAAAAAGCAAAACAGTGGTGGTTATCGCAAAGGCACAATGTTACTTCTTGTTTCTCTCTTTCTTCTGCAAAACCTGCAGAAGTTGTTCTCTCCCAGGTATCTCGTGTTGGGACAGAATTGAAGAGGATGAAGCTGATCTAGTAGTGGCAGAAGTTCAGCTGGATCCCAATCTCCTTCCACTTGTGAATGGGGAAAATGATGATCAAGTCTTCAGATTTTATTGGCTGGATGCTTATGAAGATCAGTACAATCAGCCAGGTAACTGTTCAGTTAAAGGCAGAAAATGCCATTCTGATTCTTTTTTTGTAACTGGGATTTTCAGACTTGCCTAAATTACGTCTAGATGCCCTGTCTCTTTGTACTCTATAACTTGTATATTCGTCTCTTGTTTTTCCACACCTCTGTCCTCAGTGCAGGGCACTATGACTGAGAGAAGTAAGAATCTCATCTCCTGGTCTGTTATAGTAGTAGGGAGGTACAAAAGGAGCTACTAGCGCTTCTAAATGTTGGTGACCCATTGGCCTTCCTAAAACCCTATACACTCCAGGAATAAGCTGGTGATGTTAATTTCTTACTTAGTGGTGCAACAATAAAGCGTGCTTTCTTCTTGTTTCTGGAAATGTAACTTAAAATTCTGGTGGATTATTAGAAAGCCTGTACAATAGCAGTTGCCTGATTTTATACGAAGGAAGGGTATGTCTATTGAGAAGGAAAGTGGCCTGAAAAACACAAGGTCTGTCTAGATCCCTTTATTCGAATTGTCTAAATCTTGAAGGTTGTTTTTGGATTAACATCCTTAAGATACTTTCTGCAGTTGATGACAGCTAGGATTCACACTTCATCTTCAAAACTGCAGCATTCTGATCTCAGCCCTGAGAAAAGAAGTCGTGTTCACATCTGTTCTGAGCGTTTCCCATCCGTCCTGTCATTACATCAGCAGCTTTAGGATCTTGGGTTTCTAATTTGTGCTTCATGTAGGTTTACCGGAAGGTTCTTCCATATGTTGTTGAAGGTTTTTTGGGTTGATGCTGTAAGCATTGAGTCAGATATGTTTCTTTCTTACACCTTTTGTTGTGAGCTGGGATGCCAAACTTAAATATGAGACTGCTGGGCTGAGCAGCTTGGTGATGGGAGTGGTAATAATCACAGATATCTTGATGAAATCAATGGCTCTAATATAAAATTGCTACTTTAAAGACCTCACTATTGTTCTTTTTCCTTTTTTTTGTCTTCTAAGTCAGTGGTTGCTGAATGGAACATAATTATGAAAGGATTTCTGTTCCTTGCATGCAAGGAGTGTTCTTTTCTCATTATGACTTTTTCAGGATTGAATAATAAAGACTGCACCTGTTTTCAATTAGTAATGTAGAAGGGAAAATTTTGATACTGCTTTTTGTTTAACATGTTCATGATCTTTGTTTATGCCTCATTTGCTGTGATGTCAAATGCATTGCCTGAAGAGTAAATACTATAGCATAATCATAAGGCTCTTTCAAACTTAATGATTTTTTTGGAGGCTTACTTTTCATAATTCCCTTTACTATCTTAGGCAGAGAACTTGAGAATTGTAATCCTATTAACATTTTAAAGAAATAATGAATAGAAACTGCCCTTTCTTTCTCCTCTGCAAGACATTTTCCCTGTCTTTTCACTTTGCTTGCCTTTTGGTTCATTGGTAGCATGATCTTTCGTTTCACAGACTTTGTATTTTATAAGCTTTACTCCCATTTTTTCTTTCCGCTTTCCATAATCAGGCTTACAGGGCATAGGGCCCGATATATCTTCTCTCGTTTCTTGCTTTTATGTATGAAATGTCTCTGAAAACTCTTTGAAGTTAGCCGTGCTTTTTATTGTGTGTGTGTGGGGAGTGGTTGTATGTGTGTGGATGTTCAACTAGGTGACCTCCAAAGGTTCCTTCCATCCTAAATTACTCTTGATTCTGTGAAATCTGGGGATTAAGACCACTTACTTGTCCGTGCTAAATTTGATTGAGTTTGTCTTTGCCATCCAGGCAGCCTTCTATTCTTTGACTGGCTCATGTATCCTTCTTTCTACCTCACCTGCTTATATGCACATCTCTGACAGGTTAACTTCTCCATGCTCTTAATATTGCCAGGTGTTCAAGCAACCAACTATGGTTTTGTGGTCTCTCTCATAGTTTCATCTTTCTGTATGATACAAATGTATCTGAGTTTTTTTTATCCCTTAAAAAAAAAAAGATTGCTAGGGACAAGAACTTCATCTTCACTGTCACTTAGATTTGCAATTTGAGCTCTTTCTAGATCCTTTTATTCAAACTGTCTAAATCTTGAAGATTGCCTCTGTATTAAAATCTCTAAGATACTTTGTGCAGCTGAAGCTTGTACCCTTGCTCTCATCATCTTCAAAACTGCAGCATTCTCTGTCCTTGACAAAAGTAGTCTTGTTCACATCTATTCCAAGCACTCAAGAAATGATTTTTCTTAGCCTGTCGCTCTAACTCTGTCATCCGTCTTAGTGCATCTTCACTGATTTATCTTTGATCTAATGGAGTAAGAAAGGTGCCTTTACATCTGATAGGTCGCATGGCAAAGATAAATTATAACTCTTAAACAAGGACTTGTTTGTGCATTGTCAGACCAAGGGGAAATGCAGGTTCCAAAATCTTCTTTGTTTGAAACACTGTTTCTGAGACAGTCTCAGCTCTGATATTTCTGATTTCATCAATAGTAATATTCTGTAGGAAGAGTGTCTTTCACGTAATCAAATTCCAAATTATTTGGAGTTTGAAGGGAGCTCGGGTGAAGCCAGGTTTTTGCGTTGTACTTGGAAGTTTATTTTACTTGTGATTCACAAACGGTATGTGAAAGTCAGCTGGCTTTCTTCTATGTTATTTCAGAGTTTAACGTCACTTGATTAGCAGTTTGCAGCATTTTGTGCTAATGCCAAGTTCTCTGTGGCTCAGAGATGTGCATGTACAATAATGATGTTGTCCGCAGTGAAGTCAGTTGTGTTGGTCCTGCTCTGTGTAGGCTTTCTGAATGTCTGCCTTGGTTACGACTGCCACCTTAGCATCTAGGATTTCTTGCAATGTGATACGTCTTTTGACATCCTCATTTGGTAAAAATAGTCAGTTGAAAACTTTTTACAGTTGATCAACTTGTAGTTGTTGTCTTCAGAACGTATTTCTACAGATTTTAGTAGCGGTAGAGTCTTGATCTCATGGTACTAAAGTATAGGAAAAATGAGTTAATTATACTGGTCTAGCTGAAGGATGAAAAATTGTAGATAACGTATGTTTCAGAAGTGATTGACAGCACAGGCATTCTGATTATCTTCAGCTTTCACTGACTTCTCTCTCCTTTCTTCATCTTTCCATAAATTATCTAATGTAGGTAGAAAGGGAATATCAAAACATAATTTTGAGGCTGGCTGGCTGATGCCATTTTGAATTTCACATACCAAGGTGTTACTGTAGTGGTAGAGGTAGGGGCATGAAGAACTATGCAGGTATCTATTTGTAAAGCTGGTGTTTAAAACAATTTAGAATGTGCTGATCCATTGGAAAGATTTGTTGTTCAAGGACCTAACCCACAAATGGTGGTGTTTTTGTGAAAGAATACATAATAAGCTTCTTTAAATAACAGTAAGAATTATTAATTTAAGAACTGCATATTGAATTCTTTGCTCTGCCCTTTTTCCTTAGGTGTGGTATTTTTGTTTGGCAAAGTTTGGATTGAATCCGCAAATACCTATGTCAGCTGTTGTGTGACAGTGAAAAATATTGAGAGAACTGTTTATCTACTGCCACGTGAAACGGTAAGTATATCTTTTAAACATGTCAGCAATAAGTACTTTTCATTCTGCTTATGGCAGGTTTTGAGTTCTAGTAGTGTGTTTATGGGAACTGTTGAAGCCAGTGTTGTCTGATGTAGGTGGTAAAGTTACGTACAATGTATACACGGTGTGAGATGCAGAGTAGAGTGTTGCTGCTTCCCCCCCCAGCCCTAACTAACAGCTGCAGACAAATTGTTACCTTTAGACTTACTGCTTAGGAAATAAAGTTGTCTTGAAGTGTTATTGGAAAACTTGGTACTTTTTAAACACACCGTTTCAAATAATATTTCTTAAATTTGGGTTTTCTTGGCTGATTGCGTTGTAGTTTTCCTTTAAAGAAGAGATACATGATTCATAATAGCAAAGCAAAATTCAACTTATTGGTGATGTCTGATGGCTTTTTTTGTTAATTTGTAAAACCTGACTTCTGTTTTTGAGGAAATGGACCTATCCAGTGGGAGAGAGACGGAGACTCCTGTAACTATAATGAGTGTTTTCAAGGAATTTAACGACCGCATTTCACCAAAGTATAAGATCATGAAGTTCAAATCCAAGGTTTGTCTACAAGCATCCTATTTGGTTATTTTCTGTTGTTTTGGTTTGTAAGGTGGGAAGTCTGTTGAAACACCGTCCAGTGGGGGAGGTTGTGCTGAAACGCAAATATATAACTCCAGAGATGTGTACGTGTACTTGCTTGTAAAAGCCATCCCAGTGTCTTCCCAAATATTCATACTCTTTTAAGAACAGTAAATCTGCAACATGATTGCTCCACCGGAAGATTAAACATACTACTTTTGAAAATACTTATTCATTAGCTTCTTTGGGTTGAATGTCAGACTGTCTGTCTTGCTTGCTGAGCTGTTTTTGAGAATACAGAACAGAAGTTCTGATACCTAAAGCCCTGGGTATCAGTTCATGGTGTCAAAGTTTAAAATGAAAGATTGTGTTGTCCAGCAGATAGGTCAGTACATGGGATTAGACCATCTTTGCATTTGACCAGGTGTTGTATTGAACCTTATCTCTTGGCATGGCTCATCCTTCTTCTTAGCCTTGCAGATGTATCTGTTTAGAAAGCGTGCTGTTCAGAGCATGGGTTGTCATAGTGCACGTATACAGGAGGTAACAAGTTGTGAGAATTGTCATCCAGTCTTGAAACTTAAGCTGTCCTGGGCTTACAGTTGTGGGCAATAGTCTTACAGTGTTATTTTGCTGTGTTCTGCTTGCTCAACAAATCCTTAAAAGAACACTGGAAAAACAGAATGTTCCTATAATGGAAAATTTGCACATATAGTAATATAATGCTTGTCATAAGGCTGCAGGAAAAGAGCTGGTATCGCTCGTACTGTGTATTAGTATATGGACTGAATTAATTTGCTAGTGTGAGGAAGCTTTCTTGTTCATTTACATAGAGCATTTGTCTTTTGGCGGGGGGCAGAGGTGGGGAGTTTGTGCGGGGGAAGGTAGCTAACATGCAAGTTAGAGGAAACAATTTGTTCTAAGTGAAGTACTCAAACATTTTTGTTTCATGAAGTAACATGTTTTCTGTTTCTTGAAGTTTGTTGTAATTACTGGGTGGTATGGCATTACTTGGAACTTTTTACAGGTTGGCAATCTTGTGATTTTGCAGGATTCGTTTGAGTAGTTGATCAGGAAATGGAATGGCAAGTAAAAATGCAGGAAGAATGGAATTTAACAATATGTACATGAGGGAAAATAAAAACACGTTCATACGGTAATTCAGATTGGAAAGACCCTCAGGAGGTCATCTAATCCAAAGCTAGAGTACTTCAGAAAGTTTTTGTTAAAATGAAAATGTGAGCAGTGTTTCTCAAATGGCAAATTCATGCAAGACATGACATCTTTTCATCAACGTGTAGCTTAGTGTATTACTTAGATCATTCAGGGAAAACACATGTGTCGTTAGTACTTTGTAAAACTTTTTTTTTTTCCCCCCGCATCTTATATTCTCTCTCAAAACTCTGATGCAAATTGAGCTTTTTCGGTTTTCTCAGTGTCATTTCTCTTGTATAGTTGATGGTAACTTAGTCATTACATACGAGGATCAGAAAGGAATGCATTTAACGATAGAAAACAAGTTTGCGGTAGCTCACTGTTCAAAGACCCTTTCAGGAATGATGGAGGAAACTCAGGGCAAATCAATTCTTCATTAAAAGAGAGGATACAAACCCTTGTACTCCACAAATGGAAGGAGGGGGAAAGGCCCTTGAAAATAACAGGTCTACTAACAGAGGTTAGGAAACCTCCACCTGTTCTGTGGTGTGCTAAGGAAGAATAATATGAGTGAGGTAATGGAGTAATATAGCGTAACCTTCAAAGATGGCTTTTAAAAATCAGGGTAAACCGTATGCAGGAAGTATTTGAACTGTTATTTCTGATGTTAGTTCAAAGCTTATGAAATTTTTAATGAGTTTACACAAAGCTTGGGGTGAAAAACCTAACTGTGTCTCTGGACACAGGACTACAGTGCATCTGAGGTCCTTGGGTGTAACATGAGAGTGATCGCTAGCAGGAATAGGGAGGTAGTAGCACTAAAGTACTGTTCAGATCTTACCTAGAATATTGTAACACTTGATCACCCTGATGAGGAAGGATTAACTCAAGCACCAACAGGTACATTAGACAGTAATTAGAAGGATGAGACAAAAGAAGAGTCAGTTATACCAGAGATAACTATGAAAGAGCTTTAATTTTTTTAGCTTTTTTAGTAAAGTGAAGAATAATGGTAAGACCTTTTTGCTCTCTAAAAACATTAAAGGGGGATGAGCAGCAAGAAAGCTATTTAACAGTTTTAGCAAAAGAACAATTTTTTTTAAGTTCTAATTCATGAATAAATTAGGGAGGAGAGTTGGGGTGCAGAGAAACTCTGGAATAACCTAACAGAATTGTTTCTGAACAGTAAGAATTCAAATTCTGTTTTGAATTCATCAGACTTTTCAGTGAATTTTACTACCATGGTAAAAGGCTATCCAGCTTTATTTGCTGGCATAATTTTCTGCTGATTTTGATAGTTACTGCCTCCTGGAAGGGTTCAATGAGTACTGGAGCTAGCAGGGGCGTATGGCACTAGTAATGTGGGGGATAAGAGAAAAAATAGGATTGGAGAGCAGGGCTGTTGGTGGGGTCTTTGGAGGGTTATTCAAGGAAAGTGTTAGAGTAACTCAGCTATTCCGGCTTAACACAAAATTGACTGTGAACAAGTGGCACCAAATCTGGCCAGGCTTAACCTCTGTGCAGCACGGGGTCCTTTTGCTGCCTACAAAATAATTGTGGAAGTAGTGGGCTTGTCCCATTACTGCACCCTCCTTTTCTTTTGTTCCTCTCTGAGAGACCTCAATTTGCCTGGTTATAAATCTGATTAATCTATTTTTCATAAAGAGTCGTCATCTTTCTTTTCATTACAGTCATACCACCAGAGATACTAGGTTGTTATACAGCCCTTGCATCTGTGTTTCCATAGGGCTATGCGGGGCTTTTGGATTGAAATGGTGGTGGCACTCAGCTGAGTGAATGCTCCAAAAAAGTCATCATGCCATTGTGACTGTATGTGGTTAAGAGCTAATATGCTTTAGAACTCTCCTGCCATGTGATGTGCAGCCTGTGTTCCACTACTGCGTTGTTAAGGGTTGGTGTGTTGAAAGATTTTTTTTTTTTTTTTTTTTTTTTTTTTAAAGGCTATTGGCAATATTGCTCAGCTGAGTAGAGCACTTGTGAGCAGTGCATTCAGAGCAACATGAAGTCTCAGTTTTGGCATAGTACTGTGAAACTGAGAAACTGTTATTCTTCCGTCATTACCTGGAAATCAAAAAGGTTACTCCCATACCTGCCATGCACCCAAAGTTCTCTTGTTCAGAATACCCAGTTTTGTGATGATGCACAGAGAGCCAGTATTTATACACTGAGACAAGTTGTTCTCTGCGTGTGTGTGTGCATCTTGGCCTTGCCAGCACCAAACTTTGTCCCTGCAAACAGATACACTTAAGCCATATCATTTCCTCCTGCACCTGCTGCTAATTGTAGCTTCAATGGGTTGCACTGCTGCCAAGTTAGCAAGTCTTCACAAATCAATTTGAAAGCAGCCTTACTCCACTTAGGAACTTAGCAGCTAATCACTACTGCTCATTTCTGCTCTCTGAAGGGCCACTTGAAGGGCAGATTACTCTGCAGCAAAGCATTCATTCACTGCAGTTATGACCAGACGCTTGTGTAATTGAGCTGAGCTCTGTGGAATAACGCAGATGAATCACTGCAGCATACTATTTTTACACTATGTTCAGCTTGCGTTTGCAACAAGAACTTGTTTGAAGCCTGAGAGGGTTTTTTTTAAACTAAAAAAAAGAAGGGGGTGTGGGGGGGGAAGCAGTAATAATGTGCTAAAAGCCGTGCATCACCATCTGTTACGTTACAGCTATGATGCGCTGCTCGTGTGAGGTGCTGCTTTGGCTCAACAGTTCAGATCTATATTTGCATGCTAATTTGTGATGCTGTTCTGACTTCATAGTGGTGCTGTTGTGCCAAGTTATATTACTCTTTTCTGCTTCCATGTAGCTGCTGATGCCATAGTTGTTTCTGGGTTTGCCACCTTATTTATAGCAGAGGGTCCTCTTCTCGCCTCCCCATGCTTTGCAGCCTTAAAACTGCAGTGCTACAAGAAGTAGCAAGCTTAACTGCTCATTGTAGTGCTCCAAGGGAGCTATTGCTGATGCTGTTAATTTAAGGAAAACCCCCAAACCAACCACCCAATTCCAGGACCGAATAACTTCATATTTACATAACTGTGCATGTATTTTGTTTATTTGTAATTTTTATTCCAATTTATGGTGACTTTGTTTTTATTATGCTGACTCTATGTATAAAATGCTGAACTTAGTGTGCTGTCCAGTGAAAATATGCTTTTAAATTTAAGGGGCCCCTAGGAATTCTTGTAGTAAGAGTCATGTTCTATTGCCATAGCTAGGGCTTAATATAATAACAATAATATATAACAGTGGTGCAGATGGTTTGTGACTTATTACAGGGTAGAGCATAGCATTTCAGCAGGTCCCATAGCGTTGTGGCACAGGATATTGTAATTATTTGGAAAACGAAGATAGTTATTCTTAGAAACTGACAAGCTGTGCATGTTGTGGAAAATCATTACTGTTCCTGAAGAAAGCAGAAGTGATACTTAACTTTCAGTAAAGTTGTACTGAACTTGAGACTGCTTTAGCTGTCTTTGTTAGAGATACGTAAACAAACTTGACTACTTTCTAGTAAAACCCAAGTCGCTCGAAATGAAAAATACAATACTGTCATAGAAACGATTCTGTTTTAAGCATGTAATAAAGTAAACAGCTGGCAGGTGGTTGGGAAATCAGCTCTCTTGGGTGCCTCTCTGAAGTGCCAGTACACTAAAGCATGCAGTATATAAGGAGGAGCTGTGCAGTTACAGAGCTATGGTCTCATTGGGATCATGGACACATGGTGGGATAGGACCTGGTTAAGGACAGGCTGGGATGACAAGGAGGGAGAGTCCGTTTTACGTGTCAGAGCAATGG